CAATATAATATATTATATGTCAGTCTGATAAGGGTCTTTCCGTTTTGAATTTTCCTTGGAGATCGGTGTTTTTGTGATTTTACTTTTGAACTGGCGTTATCTTCCTTTGTTCATAATAGTAATTGAACTTGCTTAAATTCACATACTATGCAGTACTGTTTACTAATGTAATTTTTAATATAGTTTTCTTGACCAGTATGACTATACGCATACATGAAATACATATCATTTTGTTACTTGAATATTTGAGTGCATAATGTATCACTACTGAAATTACTGGACATGGGCATGGATATGATGTACAGAATGTTTACCATCTCAGTGCACTATGTTGTTTAGACTCACAAAAGTAGAGATGAGGCTTTAGAGATAAAGCTATGAAGCCAGTGACATAAGGGTTCTGGTTGCACTTGATGTACTCTTTACCCAAAAATCATCATTTCGAGAACTATAAACTATTACTCAAGTAGTTTCTAAAAGCAGTTGCAGGATTTACCCAAAACACTTGCCTACTATTGAAACAGTTCTCATGATATCTTATCTTATATATCATCTGATGACCCACCTTGATTTGATAGACATTGGTTATTGATTTACACATGTATACAAGCTTTTTATGCAAGATCAGTTTCTCATACTGCACATATTAAACATGATTGTTTTCTTGTTTAGTTTTTCAATATTTTTTTTCAAGATTGCTAAAAATTTAATATCAAATTTTCTCCTTTCTTCTATCTGATAATCAGTGCGAAGTGTTTTATGCATCACACAGTTCTGCTTATCTGTAACTATACATTGTCTACAAGATAATTTCACAATCTAAGGGTATGTACTTTTCTTATTTGTTCAGACATTGATTTTTTTTGGTGCCTTACTTTATTCAACATTATATTTTATGCTTTTATTTCATATTTATGAAATTTTATTAGTAGTATATTTTTAAATGGTTACATCGTTAGACTAATATATTTGTACCTGTTTTGAAGAAGACTTAAGATTATCTGTTTTAAAAAAAGAATTGTCATGATTTTCAATAAGCATGCTGTATGTTTTTTTACTTTTTTAAGTGATTATTTATACCAGTACCTTTTTGTTTTATTTCATACATAATTAAATCTCATAAAAAACAATAATCAAAAAAATAATTATGTACATAGTAAGAAATTGTGACCTCAAGTTTAGCTCTTCAGTAGGAGTCTGAATTGTGCATAGACACTGACTAAACACTGTATTAATTGTACTCCTTTGTTGCATCATTAAAGATGAGGGTCTGCATAGGGATTACAGAATAAAGAATAATGATTCAAAAATAAAGAATAATTGTCAAAACTGAACTAAAATTATTAAAGAATACAGTAATGAAGACATCCCCCCAATCCAGATCATCTATTTTATTAAGTTTCCATCAAGGTGTATATATTATAAGATTTAATAACAATTGACTTTAAGTTGAAATTCTTGTCACAGTATTCATAAAATGATTAAATTTGGCTAAATTATGAGTAATGGTAAAAGGGGGAATCATACACCAGTGGGAGAATAGAGAATATAAGTCCACCAGACATTTCTTTGAAACAAGCTTTTGGACTTAGTCTAATCAACAATGTTCATGTAGGATACAAGCATCGAATCATGTTGAATGATAATATATTTTTGGTAGTAAAGTTATGTTGCTGGAATGGAGACTCATTAACAAAACTACCGCTCACATTTTTATGGAGATGATACATTTAGAAACTTTAAACATTTTTTTTGTTTCTAATATTTGAAATATTTCTCACATTATATATAATAGTATACATTTGTACATTTTCAGGATACCATAAGCTTGTTGGTGTTGTTATATCCTAATGAAAGTTTAGGTTAATATATAAACTGGGGCAAAAGTCAAGTATTGTTAAAAGAGGTGGTGTGTTTACAGTAGGTATAATTTGGCTTATAAAGGAACCATAACAATTTCTAATGAAATTTGTGTTGAAATAATTGAAAGGTACATAGATATAAGAAGATGTGGTATGAGTGCCAATGAGACAACTCTCCATCCAAGTCAAAATTTGTAAAAGTAAACCATTATAGGTCAAAGTACGGTCTTCAACACGGAGCCTTGGCTCACACCGAACAGCAAGCTATAAAGGGCCCCAAAAATTACTAGTGTAAAACCATTCAAACGGGAAAACCAACGGTCTAATCTATATAAAAAACGAGAAACACTTATGAACCACATCAACAAATGACAACTACTGAACATCAGATTCCTGACTTAGGACAGGTGCAAACAATTGCAGCGGGTTTAAACGTTTTAATGGTACCAAACCTTAACATGCTTGTTAAAAGTCTAAACTGTAAAGGCATTTTATCCCATTAAATAAAATTGTTTGCAAGGTGGTAAAATATAAAATTTTCCATGAAAAATGACAAAAACAACTGCTTTGACATTAACTTTTGAATTGCAAATATAGAGAGCATGCAAGTAGCATGTAAATATATGTACTTATACATGTACAAGAAAGGTCATTGTTCATGTATATATAATCAAACACTGCAGTAACATATAGAGTTAGTTCTCAAATACACTGTAAAAATAATGAGATGTGGTATGATTGCCAATGAGACAACTATCCACCAAAGTCTCAAATGAAGTGAATGTAAGCAATTATAGGCAACCGTACAGCCTTCAAAACTGAGAAAAACCCATACTTAGTCTGCTATAAAAACTGTCCAGCACTCCAAAAATTAAAAAAAAATGTACCAAGTGAGACCATATGTATTTCTTCATAACACCTGAAACTGTCCTTTAATGATGTTCATGATATTATAGTTACTTACAATGTATACCGGTATATGTTCAAGCATTATCTCAACTGTATGACAGACGTATCAAAATTTAATCACAGAAACATGGAGAATGGACACCCACGATTATCTATATATTTTTGGGGTGTTTTGTTTTTAGTAAATATTCTTGAATATTTTAACTTATTTTCACTGATTTAATGAGTTCTTGCTATTATCCATATGATTTTACAACACATTAGTTTATATATGAGGCCCCTCATTTCTTATTTTCTAATAATGGAAAATAAGAATAGAGGGGAACGTATATAAAATATTGTTCTTGTAAAATCATATGGATATATGCAAAATAAGAATAGAGAGGCATCATATATAAATTACTATTCTTAACTTCTTTTAAAATTGTATGTATAAGAGCAAGAAACATTAAATTACATGTAGTTAAAAGATTCAGGAATATTTACTACAGAAAATTAAAACACAAGAACAATATATATATGCACCTTTTGTTTGCGGTATACCATCTTTTCCGCAAGTTTATTGTTTTCTGTTTGGTATTAAATTAATAATTTTAAAAGATCCATTTTGTAACATCTTGTGATCCGTTTATTAGGCAATCGCCAATGGCTGTCAGCAGGGTTTAACATGTTTAAGAACATCTGTTGTTCCACCTGTTAGTCAAATGCATTTTGTTAAAATATACTTTTTCACTTTTTTGGTCTTTTGGAAAATGTTGTTTGTGCTGTATTTAGGCCTCTCTATCAATAAATTTGTTTTGCATGCACACGTATAAAAATTGTGGTTTTTATCCAACGCAATCATAGGTTTGAACGTTGTTTTCAATTAAGACTTGTTTATATATATATATATATAAAATAAAATTGAGAATGGAAATGGGGAATATGTCAAAGAGACAACAACCCGACCAAAGAGCAGACAATAGCCGAAGGCCCCCAAAGGGTCTTCAACGCAGCGAGAAAATCCCGCCTCCAGAGGTCATGGAGGTGGTCCTCAGCTGGCCCCTAATTAAATTGTGTACTAGTTCAGTGAAAATGGACGTCACACTAAACTCCAAAACATATTAATGAACTAAAATTTAAAAACATATCAGACTAACAAAGGCCAGAGGCTCCTGACTTGGGACTGGCGCAAAAATGCGGCGGGGTTAAACATGTTTTGTGATATCTCAACCCTCCCCCTATACCTCTAGCCAATGTAGAATAAAGAAACACATAGCAATACGCACAGTAAAACTCAGTTTAAAAGAAGTCCGAGTCCGATGTCAGAATAGGTAACAAAAGAAACTAAGCGAAATGACAATGATACATAAATGAACAAAGGACTACTAGCAGTTACTGACATGCCAGCTCCAGACCTCAATTAAACTGATTGAAGGATTATGTCTTCATCATATGAAAATCAAGCACAATCCCTCCTGTTAGGGGTTTAGTATCATACCATCATAAAATATATGAGAAGAACATAACCCGTGTCATGCCAACAACTGGTTTTAGAATAAATGTGTTTATTTCCGATGCAAATATATACATGTACGCTTTATATACATTTGTATTGAAAAAAGGAATTCCCCAAGTGTCTGTAAATCTAAAGTTTAGTCTTTTATAACATGTATAAATTAAAGCGCATCAGCCTTTCTCAGGAAATGTGACTCCTAAATGTAATATGCATGCATTGACCACTATATTGCAAAGTTTCTAGTCAAATTTTGTTTCGGAAATAATCAAATACTGGAACTACATGTACATCTGATAATTTAAGGAAAAAATTAAACACCTGATGTACTGGTTAACGTTCCAACACATAATTTCCCCTGTAACTCCATTTTATTGTAATATTTAAGTGGTCTAGGTGCAGTGGTAATGTTTTTGAGGTTTGAGTGACCCTCTATGACCAAACAGTATGGCTAAACAAGTAAATATTGGGTTACTTTCTTTTTTGACTATTTCTACTTTCACTATAAAACACTAATCTTTAACAGGTGAATGTAGCGGTGAAAAGGGTCAGTTTTAAAACCTCAAATAAAGTCATACATAAACAAAATGATAAACTTAGCATACTAAAAAGGTGGTGTCAGACTTGTCTGTATCGTACGATATACACGTGTAGGTATTGACAACCAGATAAGCGTGGTTTTGTTTACAAATAATACACTTTTCTGTCCTCAAAATAAAAGAGTGCACACTTACCTTTGAAAATAATGCAAAATAAAGCAGGCAATTGTAACTTTACTACACACAGATATTGACTTCCAAGTGTCTGTGGCAAAAATTAAAATCACTGGAACCGCGAAAGATGGAAGTTCTTGAATAAACCAGGCAACTTTTGCGTTCAGCTTACATCCCCATCCAGATCTTGCATAACGCCCATACGGTGCGCTTAAAAATTGTAACAACAGAAGAACAAAAGCAGAACTAACAAAATACACGTAAGATATATATTGTAACACTTCATAATCTGTATAAATTATCTTAGACACCAAAACATCCAGTAATGACATAACTTCCATGATCAGTGTTTTCTAAAGTGGACTCAATTATCACGTGACTACTTCGCTGAAAAAAGGGGGCACTGGGTTATCCGAAATTGTAAAAGGCGGGGATTTATTACTTTAAGGCTATACTATGGTCAACTTATCAGCTCTAAAGTGATTGGGTCGAGTGTATCTTTTTTCAGTTAAGAAATTGTATATCTGAATAATGTACACAGGGGCGGATCCAGCCATTTATAAAAGGGGGGTTCCTAACCCAGGATAAAGAGAGGGGGGGGGGTTCCAACTATATGTTCCCATTCAAATGCATTGATCGTCAAAAAAGGGGGGTTCCAACAATACTTTTCTGTATTCTTAAACTTTTTAAAACAGGCCATTTTTCTCTATTCATTTTTTTTTTGTATATTAGCCTCGGAATTAAACCTGAGACTATTCGTATACTAATATATTATGTCCCAGGTTATACAAATAGTCTGGTCACTGTAGAAAACATACCATTATTACTGACGGTGTGTTTGTTTATTCCACATTGGCTAATGATATAGGGGTTAAACATGTTAAACCCAGCTGCATTTGTAAGCGTACTTTCATTCCGCCGTGTATTTATTCCGGGTAACTGTTTTTCACTAGAGAATATTGGATGTAAATAGTGTGAAAGCGTCGATCTAAATATCGTTGTTTTGTTAATATTAGACCGGTTTATTGTTTACATAAATAAATGGGTTAAAATTAGAATGATTTTCAAGGAACCAGTTTAATTAATCTGAGCCAATCCAGTAAATAATATTGATGATGATGAGGAGGATATTTTTATAACTCAAAATACTTTATCAATGATCAGGACATTGAACTTGATATAAACCAAATTTAAAGAGCAGATTTGTTCTTACATAAAGTTTCAATTATAGAAGCATCCTTTGATATTGACATAGAAGATATGATTTTATATCTAATTAGTCGACCGAAAAGCAAATACACAGAAAAACTTCGGCATTCTAATAAATATAAATATTACAATTAGTGACAATTTAAAAGCATATGATTTTATAGATTTGCATAGAAAAATTATTTAAATCTTATTCGTTAATAAGCATTATTGTGTTATCGTGTGTTCAAAATGAGTATTAATCACTTCATCAATGTATGGATCTAAAGCACTAGTGTAATTAATCCCGGTATAAAATAACTAGTGCAACCATTCCGGTACAAAAACACTAACTGTGAACATTCCTTGGATGAAAACTCTCCACTTTTTACATAAATCAACTATGCATGTTTCAAATACACTAAAAACTACTAAGCCACATTTTATATATATTTCCCCTTCAAAAAAACTCTTTTTAGAACCTTATAATGACTGGTGGATGTTTTACATGGAAGACATAAAGGAATTAGATAAATTATTAGACCATATTTCAAACAAAAATCAAACCATCATACTTACTGAAGATTTCAACTGCACAGACATAAACTGGAACACCATGACCGTACATCAAAATGCACAAGACAAGGAAATTCAAAGAGCTTTAATGGAAGTTATCATATCACATTCACTAACACAGATACATGAAACACCAACAAGAGGCAACAACCTACTGGACATAGTGCTGACTTCAAACCCATCATTTATCAAAACATCTTCTAACGCTCCAGGAATATCTTACCACGATATGATTGTAACAGACTGCGACACAAAACCACATTATCAGAGTAAGCCACGCAAATGATATATATATATATATATATACTCCAAAGCAAAATGGGATGATCTACACAAAGACCTGACTATCCTTTCAACCAACATCACTGAAATGTATCATACAGGTGCCACAGTACAGGAATTATGGGACAAGTTCAAGACAGACCTGTATTCAAACCTTGACAACCATATACCATCAAAACTCATCCGCTCTAAAACCAGTCTACCTTGGATCAATCACAAAAATCAGGAAAATGTTTAAAAAGAAAACAAGGCTATACCAACAGGCAAAGAAAACTAACAACTGGACCAACTATAGACATTTTCAAAAAGAATGTAAGAGGCAAATTAGGAAAGCTGAATGGAACTATATAAACACCACAATCCTAGAAGGACTAGAAAACAACAACTCAAAACCCTTCTGGAAATACGCAAAATCAAGGAAACAGAACAACATAGGAATAGCACCCGTGAAAAGCAATGGCCACCTAATCAATGACAGAAAAGGGAAAGCAGAACTACTGATTAAACAATTCATCTCAGTATTCACAAGAGATAAAGACAAAACTCTGCCAAAAACATCAAAGGATATAAAAAGCACAATACCGCTTTTAGACATAAGACCAGAGGGAGTTGAAAAGCTGCTCAAAAAGTTGAATACTTAGTATATCCAAGGCATCAGGACCAGATGGCATACCAAACCGAATATTAAAAGAATGCTCTAAACAACTAGCAACTGGACTTACATTAATATTCCAAAAATCCATCAACACTGGTACACTACCGAGAGACTGGCTAAACGCAAATATATCAAGTGTCTTCAAAAAGGGAGATAAACATGCACCAGAAAACTATAGACGAGTATCGTTAACATCTGTACCATGCAAGCTACTGGAACATATTATCTGTAGGCATATACTAAAACATCTAGATAGGCACAGAGTATACTTACATCACTAAACCATGGTTTCAGGTCAGGCTATTCCTGTGAAACCCAACTACTTGTCACACTACATGACTTCATGAAAGCCTTTGACACAGGAAACAAATTGATGTAGCTATCCTGGATTCTCCAAAGCATTTGACACCGTGCCAAATAACAAACTGCTGCACAAAATGAATGAATACGGTATAAGAGGACCACTAAACAAATGGTTAGAAATGTTCCTAACCCAAAGGAAAATGAAAGCTGTTGTAGATGGATAGGAATCAGAAGAAGCTTCAGTTGACTCCGGTGTACCTCAAGGTACTGCATTAGGACCCCTTCTATTCCTCTGCCACATTAATGACCTACCAGATGCAGTAAAATCATCCGTCAGACTTTTTGCAGATGACTGCCTCCTGTACAGGAACATAAATAACCAACATGACCACACACTCCTACAGCGAGACCTCCAAAATCTAGAGGTATGGGCCAAAAAACTGGGGCATGCACTTCAATGCAAAGAAGTGTTATATTCTTAGCATCAAGAACAAAAGCCAGAACATGTACAGCCTAGACGGACATGTACTACAACAAGTCCAACACAATCCATACCTAGGCTTGCAAATATCTGAAGACCTAAAATGGACTATGCACATCTCAAATGTAGCCAAGAAAGCCAATTCGACGCTCGGCTTTCTAAGAAGAAATCTACGCTTCTGCCCAAAAGATTGCAAAAAGACCGCATATATATCATTTAATAGTACGATCAACTATGGAATATGGAACCATAATATGGGACCCATATACACAACATGATATAAATCAATTGGAAAGAATACAACGCAGAGCAGCAAGATTCATAACAGGCGATTACAGGTCTAGAGAAGAGGGGTCGGTCACTAAACTGCTAGCCGAGTTAGAACTAAACAACCTACAGTCGAGAAGAACAAGTCAACGGCTGGTATTTCTGTACAAAGTGGTTGAGGGGTTGGTCCCTGCTATTAATCCCGACGATTTTCTTGTTAAAAGTAAACCCAAGAGGAAAATCAAACCTAAAACATTTGACAATTTTGTAAGTGCCAATATATTGGCAAATTCAGTGAAGAACAATACGAAGGCACTAGACACTGTTCCTTACAACACGGATCCATATAAGAACTCTTTCTTTGTCAAGAGCATACTACATTGGAACCAACTGGAAGACAGTATCGTATGCGCAAATACAGTTGAGAGCTTCAATGCTGCTCTCCAACACCGTCAATAGGTGTCTCTCTCTCCCGTTGAGTAAAAGCCAGAATTGGCATCTTCAACGTACTCATACAGATGCACTGGACCCGGATAGAAAAACCTAGTGAATTTTTGTTGGTGGATAAAAATCACTGGGGATTTTGTTCCTCCGGATAAAGTACATTGGCGGAATCAAACCACTGTTACACATTTTTGCGCCTGTCCCAAGTCGGGAACCTCTGGCCCTTGTTTCTCTTGTATGTTTTTTAATATTGGTTCATTTATATATTTTCGGAGTTTAGTGTGACGTTCATTAGCTGAACTAGTATACCGTTATTGTTTAGGGGCCAGCTGAAGCCCGCCTCCGGGTGTGGGATTTTCTCGTTGAAGACCCATTGGCTGCCTTGGGCTGTTTTGCTCTCAGGCTGGTCACGTTGTTGTCTCTTTGACGCAATACCCATTTGCAAAGGGGAAAAAGCATTCAGTGGGGTTTTTTTTCAAACACATTTGGTTACTGGTATTTGTCCCAAATTTTGGTTGTAAAATGCATTTGTGCCAAAGCATAAACATTAAGTGGCATCGCTTATACGTTTATTCCAATCAAGATATGTAGTCTAAAGTATCGGGTTGCCAACTAACAAAGAATACCATTTTTCGTTGTTCACAGAGTTTTCATTTTTTGTCGATCACAGCTGATGATTTCAAAACGCTTTCTGTAAAATTTTAACTGCTTGGAGGTTCATTTTCTATGATGGTTGTATCAATCGAATGTTCTCGCTTTCGCTTCTTTTTCTTTAATTCGATTCAATATTTATTGTAAAGAGCACAATAGAGACGTGATCCGAATACAGACAATAATAATATTAAAACAACATATAAATGTAATGTAGATGCATGTAACAGCAAGTCATAAGTAAATTCTATGGATACCATAACATTCAAAGAATATTCTATGAATACCAGTACATTCTAAACTCAAATTAATACCATACACATATACATCACGATTATTCTAAATTTTCATAATTTTACTTAAAACACACAATCACCTATATAAGATATATGTGTATAGGTGTAATACCACCATTGATTTTCCCCTATTAGTCTTTGTTAAATTTGCACTTTTCAAAAAATTGTGCAGAATTTATCTTTGTTTCAAATAAAGAAATACTTGGCATGAGTAAAGTTTGATCCT